GCGATCAAGTCGGTTGCAGCTGATGGGGAAACACCTTTCCCTATACCAACCTGAATTACATACATAAGAAAAAGAGATGGGTAAACGAGAACCATACGTAATCAACATGAAAAAGAGATGGGAACACACTGCCTTCTTAACCAGTAATCACCACAAGAGCAGATTCCGCCAGAGAGTAGTTCTTTTCACATATCTACACTATTACATCCTCGTCTACATCATCTCGCACCCAATTAGGTTGATCTTGGACATTCACGTTACTAATAACATTTGAAAAAGAATCAACTTCATCTATCCCCATATCATAGGCATCTCTAGGCTTGACTCTAACCGGAAGAACCCAATTACTATCTTTGGTATCCTCAATATAAAACACTTGCTCAACTTGAGAAGAGAATACGAAAGGATCATCTTCAAGCTTATCACCCGTATGAATTAGCCGTGAAAAGTTGAGAAGAGTAAAGCCAAACTCATCTTGCTTGATTCATCCAGCTCTTGTCCATTTTGTCGATTATAGATATCACTGCAAGTCAAAATGAACAGATTCTATCAATCAAAAGTTGGACCGGGATGAAGTGAGTTGTTTGGCTCAAGTTCCTCTACTGATGGATACAGTATCTCAATCAACATTTCAAGCTCTGCATCTAATAAGATGGATCAATTGTTTATCTCAGAAACTAATTTGACTAAACAATTGATGATGATTGACCTCACTGCTTTGCTTAGAAAAGAACAAGTTTATCCATCCCTTTCTATGTGGTTGCAGTAAGAGCACCCTACCCACCAAGAAAGAAAGTTTCCCTAATAAAACACTCAAACTGCTTCCAGAAGTTTAAGTAAAACAACAATGACCTATAAGGCAAAAAAACCCATTCAAAGTTACCTTGCAATCATCAAAATTGAACCAAGGCGCCGGCAACTCCCGAACCCACGGCGAAAGTTGAACAGATTCGGCCAAATCAGGAAATGGGTAGTCAAAGAACACGAGAATGCAGAGGCAGCGAAAGTGATGATGGGCGACGGTATTTGGATGCTCCGATCTAACTCCGACGGTCAACTCTCCGATCTGACTCGCTCACTTCGGCAGAATCACCAAAATGGAACAGGGGTTCTCGTATCGTGAAATGGAACAGGGGTTCTGAAATTTGTTTTAAGTTGTAGCAAGGGTTCTGGACCCTTGAGAATAAGCGTTGCTACCAAAAAAATGTGAAAGGGGAAACAGGGGTTTTTCGCGTTTCGCTGAAATCTGGTTTAAGAGTAGCAAGGGTTTACAAACCCTTGAAAAGAAGCGTTGCTACAAAAAATTCCGGAAAAATTAGCAAGGGTTGGGGAACCCTTGCTAAAAAACCCTTGGCATAAGTCCATTTTTTTGTAGTGCGCATTGAAATGTAAGGAAAATTTTAATTTCTTTATGTAATCATGTACAACAAAACTTATATCCATCCATCGTATTGCAACTAACCAATGACTTGGCAAGGGCGGCAGCTTACCTGGAAGAATTCCGATCGGGTGTGGCACCGGAAGGCCCGACGAGAGCTCCACGTCAAGAAGTGCGGTGGGAGAAACCCGAGAAGGACCTTCTAAAGGAGAATGTTGATGCAGCTAAGTTGAAAGAGGGTGGCACAGGGTTGGGGCTGGTCGTGCGCGACGATGAAGGAAGATTGTCAGTGGTAGCGGTGCGGCGGACGCGTGTAGACTGGGAACCAGAGATGGCAGAAGCTCAGGCTATTCTCTGGGCTCTCGATCTATTGCAATCCTACGCCCGCCAGCCAACCCTAATTGAGTCGGACTGCCAAACTCTGATTCAGAAGATGGACCGTCGAGGAGAAATTGAGACAGAGCTGGTGGGGTAGTGAAAGAAATTAAAGAAAAATGCTTGGAAAGAGGAGATGTTCGCTGGCGTTTCTGGGGAAGGGGAGGAAATGGAGCTGCGCATGAAATGGCGAGGGCAGGTTGCAGATGGGAAGAGACCGAAGTATGGGTGGGGAGACCCCCAATTTTCATTCTTAGTATTCTAGAAAGGGACTGCCACAGCACTTTACCGATTTAATTAATAATATTCAGGTTGTTTAAAAAAAAAAAACTAACCAATGACTGATACACGGGATCCGACGAATTCGGTATGTGAAGAGGTAATAATGTTCTCCTTCCATCTCCGTTAACCGTGTTTTACGATGTTACCGACTGCATGGACTGCATCATGTGCCAGAGGGAGATCGCACCATGGCTGGCTGCACCAGTACGGCGCCGGAGCCGTTGGTTCCACTCTTTATTACAGCGATTGCGAGGTCAGATACGAGATTTACCCATTTTGATATGATCCTAATGTACGAGAGCATCATCATCAAACCAAGATCAACTTTGTCTCTAAACTAATTGTATCTACCACGTACGATATATATGTTCAACTTTCTCCCTTTATCGCAACATGCTATTCAATATTCGTAGCCGAAAATAAATTGATTATCGATATTTATATTTGATAAAAACATTGTTCATTATGTATCCACGTTATCATTATAAACATGAATTTGTATGTCGAAGAATTTGATTGATGTAGTTTGAAGTGAAATTTTTAAGAATCCAAAATATAAAAGTTAAACGAAAAAGTAATTTTACAAGAAAATTCAATTATTCCTTCATAGTATATTTCACATTTTATATGTTATCTTTATTTTATACGTAGTTTCAATATTGCCAAAGTGCGTATACGTGATTTGCAAAATTTAAAGGAGATTTGACCCTTTCGCGACATTGGAGTTATCTCTATGACAATTAAGATTATTTTTATTGTTAGTTGGTACTAAAGGGATTTGAAGCCTTCCTAGCGAATCCTGGCATGGATTAATATAGTGCAGAATGTCATGGATAAGGATAGGCTCGTCCACATGCCTCGTCTGCCCATTAGAACGGAGGTTGAGATCTCTTGGCAGCCGTCACCTCCCGAGTGGGTTACCCTCAATACAGACGGCTCCGTTATTCAGGAATCAGGTCATGCAGCGGCAGGTGGCCTGATTAGAGATCACTCGGGATGCTGCCTCGCAGCATTCGCGATGAACTTGGGTGTTTGTTCTATCATCCGAGCACAGTTGAGGGGCGTTATGGAAGGTCTTCAGCTGGCTTGGAGCTTGGGGTTGTGGCGGATTAGAGTGGAAATTGATTCGCAGTGTGTTGTGCAACTTCTGCGTAATCACGACACTCCTGACCACCCGCATGCAGCATTTATCCATCGTTTCCAGGAGCTGCTTCAACGCGACTGGGAGGTTACCATTCATCATATCTACCGAGAGGGCAACAAGGGAGCTGACTTCCTTGCAAACCACGATCACCGCTTACCATTAGGCTTCCACAATGTATCTTGTTCAATTCCTGATTTACATCATATTCTTTTGTATGACTGTCAAGGTCTCTCCGAGACTTGTTTGGTTGTGAATGAAAGTTAGATATGCTGCATCCATTTATAAAAAGGGATTTGGAACGTTTAAATTGAAGACCAAAGATAGAATCCTTCTTAATATAAATGTATGTTCATAAAAAATTGACATCCTAGATTTAATCATTATGTGAGAAACTTGGTTTAACAACTTATAATCCTTCATACGACGAAAAATCACAATAATAATGCGTCATATATCATACAAGTAGGGCTGTAAGTTAGACCCTAAAAATACACTGAGGGTCGGGGCGGGTCAGTTTGTCTACATGGTGTCAGGGCCAGCTTAGAGTCTGGTAAGCTTTTGACCCTGTAAGGGTAGAGTCACTTTTGACCCTCTGACTCTTAGCAACAATAAATTTCTCACAACAACATATTGGATTTTTTAATTTTTTTTTTAAAGTTTAGGTAGTAGATTATAAAAAGAAAAAATTGATATACCAAAATGTAATTTTACCATCAACGTTTACGGAATTATTTGTACAAAAAATATAATTTAAGTACTAAGTTGTAAGAAAAGAATTTAGGTACCAAAATGTAACTTTTTTAAAAAGTAGTGTGTTTATTAGGACCGACCCACTCGCCCGACCCTTCCCAACCCTAAAGAATTAGACAGGATCAAAAAGAAAACAGAAACATAACGTGTCAGTTATACATCTTGATCTTTCTCAAACATGGTTAAGGGCAGGTTAGGATCAGATCGGGGCAATTTTCAACCCTACATACAAGTAACCCGATCACACCCTACTCCATCATCTCAATAGTAGCATTCGTTCCGTTAACCCAACTCCAGGTTAGAAGAAGAGAAGTGAAGTATTTGCTTTGTGGAGAGAGACTACATTTATTATAGAGATTCTTACAGAGCTACATACAATGGAATGGACTGGGGTAGTTGAGATGTGTGGCTGGTAGCATATCGACACACATGAATGCACACCTGACGTTCCACACTGAACCGCATCCGCAACCTCGGGGCAATTAACAGTATTATTGTTGATTTACAAATTACAAAAAATAGCTTTGTTTTTTTTATTATTATATTTGTATTTAATAAGAGTAAATATAAATTATGTTGGTTTATTAGAATTGTTAAATATTTATTAGAAAAGAAATCGTAAAATAAAGAAGCAGGAAAAGGTAAAAAGAAACACGAATTAGCCGGTGTTTACTAATCCGAACCACTACCTGAAATCTTAACCATATTTGATTGGACAAAAAACAAATCTCCACGAGTTATTTTTAGATAACGATCAACCCGAATTCCAGACGTTTCCTTCCCGGAAAAAAAAAAAAAAGAAGAAAAAGAGTGTTAGCTGCCTTCCAAGTTCCAACTGCCACGGTTCCATCCTTCCTACCTAACCCGTCGAGCAATCCTTGGAGAGGGAGGAGTATGCACCGCACATCGAAAGAGGGTTAGCTAGCCTTTGAAAGTTTGGTAGCTAGCTAAAACCATATTACAAACACATAATACTACCAACCCTTTGTTTCTCACTTAACAAAGGTAACCATGATAATTAACCCTAATCACACACTTGTAACTTGTTGTTCTGCAAACCAACTTCTTGATATTTTCACTGGCTCAAAATTCATTGCTCCCAACAACCAACCTCCTCTCCTCTTCTCACCTCACAATCACCCCTCTATAGCTACCTACCCGCCACTTTCATATAAGCACAAAAAACCCCTCTTCCCACTTTAACATTCCTACAGAAAACCGTCTCCACTGTTCTTCCTTCCGTCAATCTGTGTAGCAAGAAATCATGGGTAGCACACCAAATGAACCATCTCTGGTCGTAATAGAGGAAGATATCACCCTCCCTTCGCAGATCACTCCCTCCGCCAAACCCCTCCCTTTAGTCGCCCACGGTAACGCTGTCATCATCCTTCTTTGTTCTTAATCTCACGCGGATAACGCTCTCCTAACTGAACTACCAGCTTTCGTAACAAACTTTCACATCTAATTGTGATCTTGAATTTAGTATCCTTTCTAATCTGTTTTTTTTTTTTATGTCATTTGTCAATTGAATTGGGAGAATTCAGGAATCACGGACATCGAGATACACTTCCTCCAGATCAAGTTTACCGCGATCGGAGTCTACTTCGACCCGAACGACGTCGTTTCGGCTCTGCAGCAGTGGAAGGGTAAATCGGGGAAGGAATTGGAGGAAAACGACGAATTCTTCGAGGCTGTGGTTTCGGCGCCGGCGGAGAAGCTGATCCGCGTGGTGGTGATCAAGGAGATCAAAGGCTCGCAGTACGGGGTCCAGCTGGAGAGCGCGGTGAGGGACCGGCTGTCGGAGGTGGACAAGTACGAGGACGAGGAGGAATCGGCGCTGGAGAAAGTGGCCGAATTCTTCCAGTCCAAGTATTTCAAGAAGGGATCCGTCGTCAATTTCCATTTCCCGGCGGGGAAGCCGCTGGAGATCGGGTTCGCGGCGGAGGGGAAGGAGGAGGCGAGGCTGGCGGTGGAGAACGGGAACGTGGCGGAGACGATCCAGAAATGGTATCTCGGCGGGTCGCGGGGGGTTTCTCCGACCACTATTACTGCCTTGGCGAATTCTCTCTCGGGCCACCTTGGTAAATGAGCGGCGGTGGTGATGTCGGTGTTTGGTTTGTGGGTTTGGGCAGTTCTCCGGGTGGGCTGGGATGAGATGGGCCGGGTTCTTTAATGGTTTGTGTGGGTTGCTTCATTCGGCCCATCTGTTGTTTTAGTTAACGGAACCCATCGGGTGCTAATTAGTTTACGAATGCGGTTTGTGTGACGTGTAACTGTTTTTCTTCTTCTTGGGTGTTTCTCAAACAAATAAAGGGCGAAATCAGTAAATTACCTTCAGTTGCACAAGACGACGCATTCACATATTCTACAAAATATATAATGGAGATTCATGACTCCATTTTTCAGCATTTTGAATTTACTGGCAGGAGAGTGTTTCATGGAAGGTTATCTTTGACAATTCCACCCCAACTTAATGTTGTTGTGCGTTTTAATACATACTATTACTCAGCCCGCGCTCCGCGACGGTGTAAGTCTGGCTTCAGTTATTTTGCGGATTCTGCTATATGACACGAAAATAGTTGATGTAGTTGGTTGAATTCCAAAGTGATAGAATGGGAGATTCATTGCAGCAGATTGCGCAGAAATGTAATGGGGATTTAGTTTGTCATGGCATATAAACAAACGACAGTATTTGATGACCTCGATGAAATCCAAAAGTTTGTGCACAACACATAAACACATCTGTCACTGTTTTGTCTTCGTTGAAGATAGAAAATAGAAACTGAGTTCAAAATGGAGGATGGTAGGGGTGAATAAGATACTTCAGTAGGTCTTTCTGTCACTGGTGCTGATGGTCACTTGTCTATTCTTGAGGTATGCCAAAGTGTTGCTACTCTAATGTGGGGTCTGGCTGTCGTAGTTCTGTTCTTCATATATGAGGAACCGATGTAGAGTTCTCCTGCAAACATTCTGCTACATCTTTTGACCAGCAACGCCTTGGCTGATTCTGCATCGAGTTTTTTGTATTTATTGGGTGACATTCCGATTATTGAGAGCGTAGCCTCATGGTCCAGTATGACATCAATATCATCAGTTCCTTGCTTGCATTTGACCTCCAACTCATAGTGCAGCCTAGTTATAGATATAAGTTCAAAAACGTGTTAGCTTATTCAAAAATAGACTGACTTGCATGAGATGTAATAGTCACATTGAAATACGAAACTTACTCTGGCCAATCCTCAGTTGCTCGGCATATGGCTTTTCGAAATTTCATCTGTGAGATGTAGAACTTAGCACGATAGAGTACCTAGTATGAACATCAGATATTGATTAGCCATGGGTCTACGTAAAATGCAGGTGCACAGTATAGTCATTTGCTATATATTTTGTCCCTTATGTACCTTGTGGCAAGTCTGATCAGATGCAAGCATAGTTTCTATGTCAGTGAGTGTCTTCTTTTCGATTCCTGATCGAAGGCAGCCTATTTTCTTACCGGTATTGGCATCCATGTAGTAGACTTGCCTGCGACTATAAAGGAAACTGGTTGTGGCAAAAAAAGTAACAGAAGTGTTAGCTGAATTTGTTTTAGCTAACTGGCAGCAAGTATGATTCAAAAAATGAATAGAATTCTGTCAAACTGAATGTACATGTGCATGATTTCCTGGACTAGAACTGTATAGGATCTGATAATCAGCTCACTGGCAGGGGTGGATTCGAAATGATACTTGTATTTCTGGCTGGATAGAGGTGCCACCCGAATGACAGATTTGATTGTGACAATGAGAGGCAGATGAGTCTCAGCTGTCGGGGCGTCCTCTAAGAACTTCGGTATATCGTATCCACGATACTGAACAGTTGCCTTAGCGCCACTGTCAGCGACACGAATATGTGAGGTTGTTTATTCATACGATTCGGAAATAAAAAATTTATTCTGCAAAATGCACCTCACATCCTGTACGACCATGTGAAATTCTTTGAGAGTACTGCGAATTGTTGTGGGAACATTGAGACGCTAATGCATACGGTGATGTCTTTGGGCAACAGAAAAGTTTGTCATTTTCAAGTATAAGTTCATTTTACTATGGCGAACAGATATAGGTAATGTACCTGTATGATAGTCGATGCTGTTTGTCTGAAGTGGTACTATTGAAAAAGCCATCCCTATGTCCCAGCCAACGGGCAAGCGTGGCTCGTCTGGGTCCTCCTCAATCCTGGAAATGTTTTGATCGGCGGTTATGTGCACCCTTAACTCTCCTGGAACGATCTTTGGATTTTCTCTTGCTGATATTGCTTCAACCGAATCAAACCGATAGAGGTTCCCGACCTTTATCTTGCGAGACACCTCGGTGATGTCTTTTTCATCAACCAACGACTCGATCAATCGTGCCTGTAAGAAAAGCAGTTTAGCAGTTCCTAATTGTGCATTATGTTGGTTTAAAATTGTTTAGGGTTAATAGCATTTTATGCCCCTCTATTATTACAAATTAACAAGCATGTCCCTTTACTATTATTTTGTACAAATGTACCCCTCTATTATTGCAGCGTAACAAACATACCCTTCTGTCAATAATTCCGTTAGTTGGCAGTTAATGGGCACACAAAATGACTATGTTGCCCCTTTAAACTAAATTATTATATATACAGTGATTTGCAACAGAAGAAAAACATAAATAAATTAATAATCATTGTTCTAATTATCCCTTCCCCACTCTCACTCTCCGTCCCTTCAATTTCCCAAACAATATAAACGCATCAAGAACAGCTCCATGGCGCTTGCTCTTCATCGAAAAGAAGCTTCAATCAATCTCCAACATATGATGTTGATTCTCTATTGGAATGTAAGTTAAGGCGCTAGGGAGTCGCATATTTCTTGTAGCCTTGGATTCCGATCAAAGACTCTGCTCCTGCAGTCTGCTCCTCGTGTTGGCTAAGAAGTGCAGACTGGTATCGAACATGGCGGTGAAAATCCATATTCTTCTTCCTGGGGGATTGAAGCGGTAGAGGCGCAGCGGCACGACATGGGATGTTGCAACGCGCAAAGAGTTCAATCGTAGAGATTTAAGCGCCACTGCTAGATGCCATTGTTGGCAATTGATTGTGTAGACAGAAGGATGGAAGAAGGAGAAGAGCCGCCAGCCATTCCTCTTTATCAAATAGATTTCAGATTCAAATGGCAGAATCACACCCCATTGATTTAGAGCTCCAATCTCAGAAAAGGAAACACAAGGAATTTCTCACAATTCTGGAGGAGGAGATTAAGCGAAGATAGGGCTATGAGATTCAGACTATTTGATTTGGTAATTTATTAATTTAGATTTTTCTTGATCTGTTTAAATTGATTGGGAAAATAAGGACACAAAGAGGGGGAGGGGATAATAGAATACAAACTTGGGTCCGGATAGTATAACAACAGTCTAATTGTTGTTATTATAACAACATGATTCATTAAGGGCAAAACTGGAAACTTACAATAAAAATAAAAAATAACCCTCATGTACGCGTTTCCTCCTCCGCTCTGTTCTCCATCGCTGTCGTTCTCCTCCGGCTGCATACGAGATCCCCAAATTCCAACTCCAAATTCCAACTCTCCTCCGACGGAGAAACCCTACTCCGGCGCCGACGAATGTCAAGTACACAGAGACCAATACTTCTCCAACGACTTCGATATGGCTGGATCTCCATCACTTACAGGGCCGATTCTTCTCCAACGACTTTAATCTAGGCTAGATCTCCTCGCAACAACCAGAATGATTTCGCTCTTCCAGTGGCGGCAGGGATGACGATTGTGGTGAGAGTCAGAGCGGATTGACGATTGAAATTATATTTACGCGAAGATGTCAACCGACAGCGACGACGAAGACGAGCTCCTTCAGATGGCGCTGAAGGAGCAATCCCACCGGGATCTCAATTACCAGCGCCCGTCGTCGTCCTCCAATCAACGGAAGCCGGTCTCGAATTTCGTCCAGGCTCCCAAACCGCCGGTTCCGCGAGGCCGGCGGCCCCGACTCATCGCCACCAGAAGAGCAGGGGTTCCACCCTGGACGACGACGACGACTCCGAAGTCGAAATGCTCAGCATATCGAGCGGTGACGAGGAAGTGAGCAAGGACCGGCCGCCGGCCAAAGGGAGAGCCGGCGGCGGTGGAGCCGGAAGGGGAGGGAAAGACGACGACGGGTGGGATGGCGGGGAGCCTGATTGCTGGAAGCGAGTGGACGAGGCCGAGGTAATGTGTATCTCTAGCTCGCTTTCCTGGATGCCTGTGGTTTCTTTTCTGTTTGCGGACTGCTAGACTTCTACTGGCAATGGAGCGTTTTCTGTGAGAATTTAGAGTGTGAATTGGAATCAAAGCCTGTTTGTTATTGTCTAGTTTGTCGAGAGTTACGTGCTACTGGAGCATGATCATGTATTTATGGATTTTGTATGATATATGAAAAAATACCATAATTTTCTGGATACAAACCACGAACACGGTAAAACAATCCAAAAAAGCATACAGTAAGCCTCTTAATGCAGACCACAAGTCTTCTAAAATAAACTAGTAACCTCACAAAACAAACCACAAATATTTCTAATGCACACCAGAAACCTTCTAATGCAGACAATAAATACGATAAAACAAACCACACAAACCAAACTAGAAACCTCCTAATGCATACCACAAATCTCCTAAAACAAACCACAAACCTCACAAAGCAAACCACAATATTTGTGAAAGCACACCAGACACCTCCTAATGCAAACCAAAAACGTCCTAATGCAGACCACAAATATATTAAAACAAATCAGAAACATCGCAAAACAAACCACAAAAGATTCGAAAGCACACCAGGAACTTCTTAATGCAAACCAGAAACCTTCTAATGCATACCACAAATCTCCTAAAACAAACCACAAACCTCACAAAACAAACCACAACATTTGCGAAGAACACCAGAAACCTCATAATGCAAACCACAAACACGTTAAAGCAAACCACAAAAACAAACCAGAAACCTCCTAATGCATACCACAAATCTCCTAAAACAAACCACAAACCCCTCAATGCAAACCACAAAGTTTTTGAAAGCAAACCAGAAACTTCTCAATGCAAACCACAAACACGATAAAGCAAACCAGAAACTTCTTAATGCAAACCACAAACACGATAAACCAAACCACAAAAGACATACAAAAATATGAGAAACCAAACCATAAATCTCACAATCAGACTATAACATCCGGTGGTCGTTGGCCGTTGACCGGTCAGCGAAGACCGTTGACCGGTCAACGAAAATCGTTGACCAAACTCCGATGACCGTCAGTTACCAGATTCCGGCGCCGATAGGGCATATTCCGGCCCCGATGACTAGATTCCGATGCCGGTAAGCATATTCCGACGCCGGTGAGCATATTCCGATGACGAAATAGCATATTCCGGTGACGAAAAGCATATTCCGGTGACCGGCGACCATTTTCCGGCGATCGGTGACAGAATTCCGGCGACCAAATTTTTTGACCGAAAAAATAAAAAAAATATTTTTTTATTTTTTACTTTTTTATTTTTTTTATTTTTTTATTATTTAAATATATTTTTCATAATGACAAGTATACCCCTGCTTTGATTTTACACTAGGTCAACTCATCTAATAAAAAGTCATCACAACCCTAGCTTCCTATTGGTTGGAGACTAGTGTTGTTACAATAACAACACAAGGAGTGTTGTTATAGTAACCGGTCCCTACAAACTTGAGGTGGGAAATGATTCCTTCCCAGTGGAAGATGAAAGAATTGAAGGGCTACGGCCGATAGAAAACGGAAAATATTAAAAAAATGTTTAGTGTTTTCTTCTCGTGCCAATTATTGTGCATATAATATAATAATTAAAATTAAAGGGCTATAAAGTCATTTTGTATGCTTTTTAACGGTCAACTAACGGAAATAGTGATGGAAGGGTATGTTTGTTACGTTGCAATAGTTGAAGGGTACGTTTGTGCAAAATAATAGTAAAAGGGCATATTTGTTAATTTGTAATAGTAGAAGGGTATAAAATGTTATTAACCTAATTGTTTATGAAAAGATTATGTAGTTTTGTAACTGAATTATGGACAAACCTTCTTATCTATCCAAATCATGTGCATGTTGAGATCTTTAAGCCTAGGTGCTTCTCGGTACTCGAGCCACGTAATCACGGGCCTAGCAATTACTGTCCGAATGTTGGTGCCCAAACGCAGTCCCCGAAATGGCATGCAAGTTTCAATCGGATCTATAATAAGAAAGTAAAGGGAAGTGGAATTCATATTTTATCTTTTTTGCAGAGGAATCGAGATTCATGGGAGTATTCTTTAACAAAAATGGAAGGTATTCACCTTTGTTGTCGGTGGGGACCATGTGAGCGTCCTCTGTTGACTGGTGGTTTTTGGGCAAACCCTCCATGTTAGGTGGGGTCTCTCTGCAAACAACGTGAGCGGCGATCAGAAGTTGTTTTCCAAGTGTGAAGGCGGTGAAGAAGAGGAGTACGTGGAATTATCTTTGTTTCGGGGCTTGTCTTGTAGTTTCGGTGGTGGGGCTTCCGCGGCAGAGCAAAGCCGATGAAGATGTGGACGGCGGGTCTGGTTGATGAAGGTAGTTAGGGTTTTAAAAGGAAATGTTTATTTGGGGGGTGATTTTCATGGGCTTTTATCTGTAGGCCTAAAGTATCTTCGGGCTGGGCTCGAAATCATTTCATTATTATGAAAACGTAAAAAAACGGGTCCTCAGTTTTGGTAAGTGGCTAAGGCCGAAGCCGCTTGGGCCTTAGTAAATCCAATATATTAGCATATGCCCATAAATTTTAATGGGCCCGAGATGTTTGCAATTTCTGAGGATTAACAAACTATTTGATCCATTATTTAGGCGATTATATTTCTTGACTTACAACAAACTATCTATGCAACCCTGATGAATACATTTCTTTACTACTTATGAGCTAGACATGTAATTGAGACAAGCCATTGACCTCTTTGGATTGACATGGTTGCATCAGGGTATTGCTGTAATCCTACAAAACACATAGTTTTTGTTAGGAAAATTAGCTGGCAGAAGTGTCGAATAGCTTGTTCAATTTAATGAACTCACCTGATATATGGTTTAGGTGCTCATAATATCAGCAAAGGCCTCGGTGAAGACTATGTTCCTTGTAAAATCGTAGGGTATTTCTGCTGGGTTTTGTATAAGAATCCTCAAACCTCTCGCTGATTTTACTCTTGAAACTCCCACATACAGCTGGCCGTGGCTAAATACGGGTTCAGGCAAATAAATCCCAACTTTTTCAAGCGTTTTTCCTTGGCTTTTGTTTATAGTCATCGCGTAACATAAGCGTACCGGGAACTGCCTCCTCCTGAGTATGAAGGGCCACTTGGAGTTCTCTACATTGAGTACTAGTCTTGGTATAATGACTTCGTCAGTGTCGTAGGAACCGCCCATGACGTTGCCTTTTATAAAATTGTCCCGTAATGTTGTGATCATGATCCTTGTGCCGTTGCATAAACCAAGGGCAGGATTTAAGTTGCGCAAGAGCATAACTGGTGTGCATACCTTTAATGTAAGCTCGTGTTCTGGAACTCCATTGAATATGAGAGTGTTGAGGAACTCTGTTGGATAGCTTTCGTCAAACGAATCCGCTGTTTCTGTTGATAACTGCAATGAATCTGAACTATAATATGTTTTAGAATTGCCTGGTACCCTTTGCAGCATATAGTCGTTGATTCTAGAGACTGTCGCATTCGTTGGCGTCACTATTGCTCTGCTGGTTAGGTATGCTGGATCCCTGTGACTGTCGGGAAACAAATCATATATATCATCTGCGATTGACTGGACAGAGTCATCCCCGGGATCAATTAGGAACAGTGGTGGAATTTGTATCCAATCTAGTGGCCCATCTTCTCTGAACGATCTTGCTCTAAGTCTTCCATCTCCTAAAGCAAGGACCCAATCTGGAAACGTATATCCATGCATTAGTTGTTGATCAGCAGAGTGGACCGCTGTTATGCGCATGTTTGTCGATAGGCACATCACTTTAAAAGTATTCCATAGCTTGGACCTAGTTAATGAGCCATCAATCGTTTGTTCACGTCCAGCATCAGTTATAACTGGGAGTGTTTGGCGAAAATCTCCACCAAAGAGAACTGTCTTCCCTCCAAAAGGTTTATAATGATGTCCATTCAGTGGAACATTCAATATGTCGCACAAGCTGCGATCTACTGCCTCGAAAGCCTGCCGATGGGTCATTGGTGCTTCATCCCAAATGATTAAGGATGCTTCTTTTAACAGGTCAGCTAGATTTGTTCCGTGTTTAATAGGACATGTCGATGTTGCATCTAGAATCAGAAGAATTTTGAACCTTGAATGTGCAGTGGTTGCTTTCGGAAGTAGTGTTGCTGCTATGCCCGATGATGCAACCAGTACAACTATCTTCCCCAAACTCCTGAGTCTTGCTGTAATGACATTATAGAGGTACGTTTTGCCAGTACCTCTGTGACCATATAGGAAGAATGCCCGAACCATCTTGTTGAGGACTGAATTGATGGCAGATGTATATACATTAGTTTGCTTAGGATTCAATGAATGTAGCATAGAGGTTGCTAGTGCACGCTGCTCGTATGTATCGAAGGCCAGATGCTCGTTAATGAGTGGGTTCTCTCCATTATCATGTGAACCATCAGATGGGGTTGGGAGATTAAAGTCCTCAAGTGTCATTGAATGAGAGCTCAACATAGCCTGCAATTCACGAAGTACCCAGTTCTGTAATCGTTCATTAGTGGGTTCCTAGGTTTGGTCTCTGAGATCTTTGGCTAACCTATATGCGTAATCTTCAGCCATTAATTTCCATGATGAATTGAATAAAGCTGTTGGACTTGGAACTTCGCAGAACATTAGCATTGACACGAAAGTGCTCCGTATCACCCGTGGCATGCTTGAAGTCGAAATATCGGACAGAACACGTATCCATTCTGAAGTATCTGATAACAGACCCAGTTTTTCACAAGCTTTTTCAAAATCTGGACACAGTTCTCCATTGACAGTTCTGATATGAGCATAACTGAGAGCGCCACGGACTTTTGTGAGCACCATTCGGAGGAAAAATACGTCGCCAGAACATGGCGGAACATATGCAACCCTCCCTATCGCAAATCCTTTTTTGCGAGGGTTCCATTCTTTACAATCAGGAAGCCAGGTGTAATTATTTGGTATCTGTGCATATGTCAGGACTCTTGCCTGAGGATCCCTGCGATTAAGAGCAAACCATTCTGTCAAGTGTGTCTTTCCGACATTAGGATTCCCCAAAACATTTTGCACATTGGACTGTTTCTTATAAGGTACTTTTTGCTGACCATCCAAGTGAACTCCCAAACGCACCACTGATGGTTCTCTTACATGAATTGGATACTCATTAAGCCTCCATATGGCTTTATAAGTTGATAGCGATCGGCAGTCTATGTACTGTTGGATTTCATCTCTGTGCCTCTCAGATTGCATTTCTGGATTATTTTGCGGTGCATCAGCGTTTTCAGCAATAACCAATGATCTGTCCGGCCCTTTTGTCACATATTTAAAGAGATACTTAATAAGTTTACCTTTGTGACATACCTCAACATTTATATGAGCCTGAATTCTGACCAGCAAATTCCTGTTGTATGGAACAACATGTCGATTGTCAAGTACTATACTTCCCTTTTGAACCTCGACGCCAGTGTTTGATCTTCTATAGACTACATTTCCGAACTTGTCAAATGTTGTGGCTGAGTCGAACTCCTTTGGGAATTGTTTGGAACATTTGCCTTTGGCGCGTTTTTTCTTGTCTCGCATACATGGTGCATTTGTATTTGCTTCACCGCATGGGTCGTGCAACATGAATTTACAGACAGCTTCATATCCAACTGGATCTTGTTGAGGGTCTGGAATTTCGGCTGAGATTACCTCGTCAATGTCGGCTGATGCCCTTAGTTTATTCTCTTCAGACAACCAAACCAACAGATGTATATGGGGCAAACCCTTTTTCTGAAACTCCACTGTATACATGACTGTGGCAAAATTAAGAAAGTTAAAATTGCGAATATCCAAATGTGTATTTTGGAAAGCATTGAACGGGCTAAACTTGTATATTGATATTAAATGAGCAACCTATACTTACTTGCAATTGCTTTCCCAAAGTAGGAGTTTTTCTTAATGTCATCTATGAGAATGCTTAGCTTAGCGTGGAAGACCCTTGAAACCGCCATTGGTTTATCTGAGCTGTTTGGACCAACAACATCACGAAAGGCTTCGGTGATTTCTTCCCACAATGAATTACAGGTGAATGTGATGAATAAATCAGGGTTTCCAAAGAATTCGACCACTGCCATAGCATCATGATACAGTTGTTGCATATATCGCGGGCTGCCTATGTAGGTGCCCGGGAGTACAATATGGCCCATTTTATCTCCGTCAAGATCACCCCGTGCCATCGCATCCTGTAGTCCTTGATAAACCTCGGCTCTAAGCTGTGGCTGATGACAGCGCAGAAAAGCCAGCCTGTTTAGTTCTATCGATGAGTAAGCGTCAATACAAAAATGCTGAAGAGCTTTCCCAGCCTGAACAATTGTGTGTTCTTCGCCATTGCGATACTGAAGCCTGAATGCATAGTACTCACGCTGAGTAACAAACTGCCTCCGCATAGAAGGCGGGCAGAAAGCTGACCTGTATTTGATGAGTGGATGATAACCATCCTCTCCATATGGAAATAGAAGAGGGAAATGTAACGCATCAAATTTTGGATTGAGACTCATAATCCTCTTCAAACCCTCATAGACATGATCAACTATTATATCGCGATCATCTCTGTCTGGTACGAAATCACCTGGTATAAGCGCTGCAACCTCAGTGCTGCTAGGCAAATCATATTGCCGATTCCTGCTTTTCGCTCCAAATATTCGTAGCTTCAAATTCGTTGTCGAAGAATCCTGAAGTTGCTGCCGAACTCGCCTAAAGGTTTTGACGAGTTGATTATGTTGATCCAGCATTTGGAGCAATGAAGTGATCAGCTCTGGCATAAGTAGACCATCACGTGATGCGAAGTTCGCCAAGCGATTGTCGATTTCATTCTCCGGTTCAAAAATATAAAGCTGGGCAAACTTTGGTTTTTCACCATCAGGATTCAGGAGGCAGCAATGAACGATCCTATGATAGTTTTCTCCACATATAACCATCGAGTACGGCCCCCTACCAGAAAGAGAGCGAGGGTCAATAGAAGCACCAAATGATGTAAAACACAATGAACCGTTATATGGTCTGATGTTATCTCTGAAATTCTTAAACATGGCGCCACCATCAAACTGCAGAAGCTCAGCCAACAAACGCGGAGGTTGGGCTATATACGGCAAACCAACACGGCCTTTCTGAAAGCAGAGTCCATAGATAGGATCAGTTGTTGCTCGGCGGCGATCAAGCCTCTCCAAATCCCAAAACAAAGCACCACAGAACTTGCAAACACATTTTGGTTGACCTATGTTCAGAATATCATCATGGAGGGGCTTTCTAGCCGTGGGAATGGACCTAAAAAGGGATGAGGTTCCAGATGAGTTCTGCAACCGGCAACTATCAGTTTTCCGCTGTTCAGCTTGCTTCACCTGATTATTATTTCCGTTACATTCAGCTACCACATTGGGTTCCCCTTGCTCCAGAGAAGAAATATGGCTCGTTGAATTCTTGGAGGCCAACTGTTTTAAAGTCTGGTAGCGCGATTTCCTTGGCCTTGAAGATTCTGATAAGGGCAATACAAACAAAAGAGAACATTACAGTAAGGCTTTTCTATAATCGAAGATCGATAATGCTTGATGTCTTCATGAGAATCTTATAATTCAAATAACAATGGTATGGTGGTAGTGCATTCATCACCTGATGAAGATGGTAGGACTCGATGAAGAGACTGTGATGGTTCCTGTGTATCATTCTCAGACAAAGGATCTACGCCCCCAAACGATGTCTCAGGAACTAGTGAACCATGCAATGGATGTTCCATAAATTCAATTCTGGCTCTTTTATGTGTTAAAGTCTGATACTGAGTCTTTCTTTTCTTGGGAGGCATTGTTGCACAGAAAAAACAGAAACCAAACATGATCAGAGTCATTACTGTCGGAAAGTTCAAATAGTATAGCCGAGACAGTTTAATGAGGAAGAGTTAGAGGAAGATCATAGAAATCATCCTCACTCATTCGTCAGACTCATCAATGAGGATGTCAGATAAAAATCCAGGTTACCTTTGTCCTATTTAGTCCATCAAACGAAGGATTTGAGCGAACAGATGACAGATGAAGTACATGGTGAAGTAAAGGAAGTTCCTGAAGAAAGTGACATAACCCATTGAGGAAGAAGACATATATTAATATGAAATAGCTATCATGGATATGTGAGCTATGTATCATCCTTATAATAGCATTATAATGTGAAAAGATCTAACATGTTGTTGGATTAATAAAATGATGAAAAGTAATCAGATTAGTTTAATCTTTCGCACAAAAAGAGGCTGCATTATATTATGTTAAGTAAGAAATATTGAGAGGTGTAAGAAAGATAAGTAAGATGTCCTCATAATATAAATCGTATTATAGATCGGTTAAAACGTTTCTTTCGTTTGAAACATACGTAGTCAGTCCGAATTGATACGAAGTGTTACCAAATTGCAATTTAACAGTTCTGGATACAGTCTATAGGCTCCTCAAAAATGACAGTGTCTCTATTCGAACTGGCTAAGAGGCATTGAGATAAACCCCCCTCCCTCCTTCCGTCAACAGTGGGGGTATTCTAAGGAAAGAATAACCAGATATGCTATGGAAAATAGGAACAGACCTCGCTCATATTAGCATCCAACAACATTTAATGAAGGCAATGAGTGCTAGGCAGTAGCCTCAGGAAGATCAAAATGCACGAAAGCACCATATAAACATCAACAACAAATGACCAAACATTAGCTAATTAGGTGCTGGTTATCCAATAAAAGATAGAAGGCTATACAAACCACAGGTACATAAACATTGTATCTTCTGATAATACCCACATAGATGCAGCCATTACATTCTCGAAACCCAGGGTCCAAAATGAGAATATCCATGTAACTACAAGCGCTGCATTCCCGAAACCTAGATATCCAAAATACGATTGTCTAAACAAGGAGAATAACTTGCGTAAACAAAGCAAAATATGTCATCTCCTTGAAAATCAGGCACCAGCATATCCGGGAACATCATCAACCGCAAAGAGAAGGATTGGGGCCATGCTTGCAAACTTCAATCCATAACATATCTACTTCCTGAAATAAAATAAAAATAGCAAAGGAATGAGATACACAGCAGCCACAACGATTTAATCGCAAATGAAACACGACAGAAAACCAAATCAAACTAAGAAAATAAGAAAAGACTTTGACGCTATCATCACCTCTTGAACAAAGCACGTTTCGCAGTTGGATTTTTATGACTGTCAACTGGAGAATCCTCTTCCATCTCAGCACCAGCCTGCGAGGAACCGACATGTGGCAGAGGAGGAGCATCAGCATCGTCTAACTTCTCCACCTTGATCTTGGCGAGTGGAGAAACCAATCTTGAACCAAACATACCTCTTAGCAATGAATATTATGGGAAAAACTCAAAAACTTTGAAAAATACTAAACTAACTTCTGAACACCTACAATGACGCAGACGAAGAGCCAGCGGCTAAACCAGAGGTCTTCCCAGGAGATGACTCAGGGGATGGCTTCAGAATCTTTGCAGCAGATGTCAACGAACCACGACCAACATCCTCAGGGCCGGCAGACTCATCGATTCTGGATGTAAGCTTGGTAATCATCGAAGGAGAAGATCTGTCAGATGGTGTACAGGACTGGGCTGAAGAAACAACGGGTACAGCCGCAGCAGCTGGGCTAGAGCCAACCTGTACACTAATCCCCGAGGAATGAGATCTCCCGAGAATCTTGGGGCCAGCAACAACACCTTTGCTTTCGACATTTGCAGGAGGAGGAATATGCAAATCCTCGACTCTCGGACTGGGAAAAAAAAGGCAAACAACTTAGGACACATTCTCCAATACTTCCATTAATGAACATAATAAGTATCGCTAGAAAATGCGAATACCTAACAGCCTCGTCTGGCCCTTCAGTGATGCTAAACGGAGCTGTTGATTCCTTAGTGAGCAGAACACCTGAAACCTTTTCCTTTCCCTTCGCAACCCTTGAGAAGATGAACAGACAGTTCATAAGGCATAGGCAACAAAACGAAGAACATAAACAGGAAAACAAAACAGTCAACACCAACCTAGATGAAGCTGAAGAACCACCCGCGACGCTTGCTGCACCTATAGTCAAAGTCGGAACAGCAGCAACAGGACCAGGTAACGGAGATAGCGAAGAGAACTCAAGCAAATCGCCAACCACCAAAGGGTCATCAAGCGGGACAACCTGAGTTACACGGAACTCGCCCGAAGAGAAGCCAGTAGGACCAGGCAATGGTAACTTACTATCAAACTTGACATACTGACCTCGTAATTGATGCAACTGCGGGGGCAGCTGACCAGGACGATGAGGAAACCTCTAGGCCAGATGTGCAGCGGAAACATTAATCAACGAATGGGCACAACCACCCATCAGTATGAACCGAGCCTCGCTAGAGTCATCCCTCAACGTAAGATGGAGCGTATAACTGAGCAAACAAATGCGTTAGCAAGGAAACTTAAAACAGACAGGATAACAACGCTAATAAGACGCAGTCATACTTGACTCGGGTTTGCTCCTCTTCCAGCTGCCAATCTTTTGGGCACCAAAACGAATTGTCTCGACGCTTTGAAACTGCTCTCGAACATAGCTTGCACGAAATGTAATACCAAGGAGTACTCGACTCGACATCAACAATCACTCCACCACAACGATACTTCTCTTCCTAGCAAAGCAAAGAAAACTAATTCATTTCCAAGAGAAACAATACAAACACTAAATTTTTCAGAAAGAGTAGTAATAAACCAGTGAGGAATTCATTCGAGACAAGCTCAACAGCTGATCCAAACTCTTGGTACGTCGTTCTGCATCAGCAGTAGCGTCAGCAGCGGTAGCAAATTCCACTGGCAAGGACTCAACAACTTCATGCTTTTCAGCGAACCTAAAACAAACATAAGCAGCATGAACTTAACTATAATGCTACTCATACATAAAATGAACATCCTAACAGGTTACACAAAATCAGAAATGCCCACAACCAACTTACCTAGAAGCAAGATAGTAAGCCTTCGGTACAGGAGGGTTGACGGCTATGCGTGTACCAGCTGAGCTCGAGAGAATATAATCATCTGAAACAGAAAACAAAAGACGAAGAGAAATCAGCACACACCAACATTCCTCGCATAACCCCGATAGAAATACATGCACTCCAGAGAGAAAAAACACACCTCCCAACTTATTAACCAGCAAGCCACCGAATGCGAGAATCACAGCTTCAATCGAGTCAGCCTGAGTGAGTGCAACATGGTCCAACAACGCAGAAAACTCATCCCAAAGTGTAATAGTAACCTTCGCTCCACTGAGAGGGAAAACACGGGGACACATGAGGAACGACACAAAAGGAATATGAGACACACAGATAAACCCTAAAACCGAAGGAAACCGAGAGAACCTTTCATCCTCGATGATAACCGTTTGCTTGACTGCAGGGCCGTTATTAGTGATTTTATGAGATATTCCACTGATTGAATGGAGTCGGCCAACGACATCTGCGAAAATAAAACGAAGACAAAACATAAAAAACACAAACAAAAAACATTCATATACACAAACACATGCATATCAATAAGAAGCAAGAACAAAACTATCCACCGACCTGTCAAGAAACGGTGATTACCAGCACGCATGCTCAACTGGGAGAAAGACACAAACTCATACGCATCAACCGGAAAACTCTCAGCAAGAAGACCACAGGCCTGAAAAGAAGTCGAGGGCGAGAGACCCAAAGCCAAATCAAAGGAACATGGGCGATACTGATTCGGCGGGTTGCTCAAGCCAAAGGACTTTACAATATAAATCTTCCCAACAGAAAGATTACGACGGATCTCAGAAGCCATTGAAGTCGGCGAAACACCGCGAATCAGCGTCCCCTGCGCAAAACACACCACAACGGTTCAAAAAAAAAAAAATACAGCGGCAACGACAAAACGAAACAGGAAAACATTGGCGCAAAGCAACGGAGAGTATACCGTTTCGTAGGTCCAAAGAGTACAGTAATTATAGATTCTGATATCCCCCCAGAGACTTCGACGGCCACACATGCAGCAACCGGAGACGTAAAGAAACGGCAGCATTGCGAGGGCCGCCGAGATTGCAAAGCAATGTGAACTCCATATTCACCGAGACAGAAAGCACTGAAGAGAGAAGGAACAACGTTTAGAAAGAGAGCAGAATGACGGGAAGACCGAGAGCGAAAATGGTGAACCGATGCCACTAAATTAAAAAAGAACATATAAATGAGAGAAGGAATTAGCAGGGGCAAGGGCGCCGCGCGTTAGTTATAGGCCCAATCGCGAATAGAAACGTAAAGAAGCCGAAACAGCGGCCCACCGAAGAGATAAGGACGATGTCAAATAGCAAAACCGCCAGCAAGGGAGAGCACAAAAAGCGGGTAAAAAATTCGGCGCGCAAAACCGGCGGGTTTACGATATCTAGGCAGTCCAAGACAGTCTCGTTCTCCCCAAGGCCCAAATAGCCCAAGCCGCGCACAGGAAACCGCGCCCATCATTACCACCAATTCCGTAAGCAAATCATCAACACGCAAGGTGAGAGAGAGAAAATAACAAATGCAATGATTATCACAAAGACCAACGGGGAATAGCCGAGAAACGCAATAAAAGAGAATAAAAAAAGAAGACAGCGAAGAGGAAATCAGGGCGCAGTTGAGAGCAACGCGGATCTCAGAGAAACCACCGCAGCCAAAACCGCAAGGGCCAGAACCAAATAGGCAACCAATTAAGAAATAGCAGGTGGGACCAGATGCAGACCAACAACCAATCAGGCGGAAGTGAACAGTAAAATTGAGTCTAAATGAATAGTAATTCCGTGTTTAGGGAAACAGTGTATCATGTCTTTGCAAATAACTTTTTTCAATACGACAGGTTTCAAGCCTTCCATCGTTGTGTGAGCCGGGCTATCCTTTCAACGATTTGGGCCCTAATTGGGCCTTTTCTATGAGCGAAAAGACAGACTCGCTCTGCGTAATCTCTACACCCTCGCCTTCCGTTACCCATAGCGGTAGGAATGGCAATGGGTAGGTACGGGGCGGGTTTCTCGATACCCATACCCGCCACATAATAGGTCGGGTCCAGGTCGGGTAACATATCATGGGGTGCGGGTTAGAGCAGGTCGACCCAATGGATATATAATTTATGCGAAAAACATTACTATTCGTATTTTCACTAAAAGACCAAAAAAAATAAAATGATAAAATGTAGTTAAATTATTGAAGAAATTGATGTTTTCACTTATTTATAATTTATTATAGCTAAAATATAATGTAGTAAGAGGTAAATTCTAAGTAATTTTACTAAGATTACATGTAATTTAGGCAAGAACGGGTCGAGAATGGGGCGAGTCAGGACAGGTCGGGTCGATGAGAGGTATCCATGCCCGCCCTGCTCCGCCTACGAGGCGGGTCCGACCTGCCCCGAAACAAGCCACAAACAGGTCGGGTAAATCGGGTCAGGTCGAAATTGTCATCCCTACATATCGGGTTTCCCCCTCCGGCCCTCCGACACTTCAGTTTTTTCCTCCGTCGATTTACTTGGCGGTTGGCTGAATTTAGAATGAATGCCACCATGGATCCTTCGGTCTGCTTTTCTGTGCTTCGTTTCCCAAAAACCAAAAGCATTAACCGTTACATATACCATAGTTCATCACTCTGTCTGCAGCTCCGAGACTCTCTCCAAAATCCGGCCGTTACCACAACCGGGATCCATGGGCAAACCGCAATAGTTCTCGAGCCATCGATCGTCGTTTCTGCAACTAACATCTAGAGTGGAGGGATTGTCCAGGGGCCGGTTTGACTCAGATCCATCAATCGTCTTTTCTTGATAAGAGCTGAAGGTGTTTATCAATAGCTGTTGACATCTTTTATCTCTCCAACTCTGTCCCTTTACTTGAACGAGCATCTGGGGCCCATCAATTGGGGCTGAAGGTGTAAATAAGGCCTAGGGGGCTAGGATGGGTGAGAAACTAATAATCAGGGTTGGACAGAGAGTGGGAATTTGAAGGATCGTGGTCGATATTCTAATTAGTGAGGATTTTTCAAAGTTGTCTGTTTATTTTTGTGGTTTGAGAAATAGTATAATGAGGGCAAGGGGTGCAGTATAAGTTTATGCATGATGTACACATTGAAGAGGGAGGGATGCCACTTGGGCCTTGGCTACTATTTAAGCCTAGAATATTCCAGACGGTTTGTGTGGCCACTTACGTAAGGTTCCGTCTCTCGTCGAACACAGGTCGGAGACGTGGATTTCTGCACGAAGGGTCCGGAGGCGGTAGGGATGGCAATTTCGACCTGACCCATTTTACCCGACCTGTTTGACCTGTTTTGGGGCGGGCATGGGTAGTCTAATCGACCCGACCTGCCCTGACCCGCCCCATTCTCGACCCGTTCTTGTCTAAATTACATGTAATCTTAGTCAAATTACTTAGAATTTTCCTTTTATTGCTTCATATTTTGGCTATAATAAAGTTGTAAATTAGTAAAAACCTCAATTTCTCCAATAATTTAACTACAATTGTCATAATATTGTTAGTTTTTTTAGTCTTATAATAAAAATAACGAATATTTCTAATGTTTTCATATAAATTGCATACTCATTGGGTCGACCTGCTCCGACCCGCGACCCGTGATCAATTACCCGACCTGGACCCGACCTGCCACGGGGCGGGTCTGGGTACCAAGAAACCCGCCCCGGACCTGCCCCATTGCCATTCCTAGGAGGCGGGGGCCTCAGACACTCTCCAAAGAGCAAGTAAGAAAACAAATACAGAGAGAGAGAAAAGTAGAGAGAGAAGTGAGTAGTTAAGTTAACATTAAATGTTGTGGTTGAAGGGTATTTATAGTCGATTGTGGTTGGTATGAGCTTTTAATGCTCTGTTGTGTGTGTACTGAACGTATTTTCGCTGCACTCCGCTCGCGGCTGCATTTAATGCCATGTCAGAGTAGGTATGGCTAGCACTACCGTTGTCCTATCAGGTCTACTTAATATGTACCCGCCTTTGGTACTTTACGCTTCACGCCTATAGCTTTCCTCGAGCTTAGTTCCCCTGTTGGGCCTCGCCTCCCTATCACTTTAAGCCCGACCCATTAGTCTTGTCAGACCTTAAGTTTAGGCAGCGGTTTCCGCTTAGCCGACAACTACCTTTATTATTTTTCTTTTAATTTGGTCATTCTTTTAATTTTTCCCATTTTGATTTTTAGGCTTTTGGTCATTCAAGATGGCAGGTGGCTCCTTTAACATGAAGTAAAAACAATAACATCAACGTGAAAATTTCATATATTATCTATATAAAGTATAAAGGGATGAATTTTGATAATTTATGTAAGAAAAATGTTATTTTACGAATTTGTGTTGGTAGAATCTACAAAACATTATAAGCCAATGTGCAAAAGCGGCTTTGCCACATAATCCTCCGCTAATTAACCCGCACAATTCAGAGGGTTAGTTTAGTCAATTTCGCACGCTCTCTTTCTTGCTCGCCATCGTCCAAATTGCAACCGGAAAGGTACGCTAATCTATAGCTGCCTTCGCTCTTCCCCAACGAGAACCTTCTTCCCGTCCTTCGCGATTACACTGAATCGGAAAATCGTAGTTGCTGGGTCTTTCTGTGCGCATATTTTTAAGCTACTGGACGGGATAACTACTCCAAATCGCCATCGATCTGTAGACGAAATTTTGTTTCCGTCATCCGCAACAAAATCCTGCTTCCCGTCCTTCTGTGGCGCTGAATCGGAAAATCGAAGCTATACTGGGCTTTTCTCTGCGCATGTTTTGAAGGTACAGGGCGCGATTACTACTCAAACTCGGCCAGGTATTGCATCCCGAAACCTTTTCCGAACTTGGGTGTGTTGTTTGGAGAAAATCGACGGTAAATCAGCCGCATTCTTCCCAACGAAACCCTTCTGGCCGTCTATTTTTGGCCCCGATTTGCAAAATTGAAGGTATCCTGGGCCTTGGTCTGCTCATCTCTTCCAGCTACGGATCAGGAAACATATCTTCAAATCGCATTGAAGTTGCCGCTTGCATTTTTCCGAGCTCTGGTGTGTTTGTTGATGGGTGCTCTGACTTGCAATTGGGCTGGATATCACTGCTGATTGTTCGGTTTATTTGAGTCTACGACGGGTGTCTCCATCAAATCCTGCTCTCGGTGGTTGTCTGTTGGTGTATCTTGCTCCCACCGGCAATATTTATTTGGGTATGCGTTCAAACTTTGAACCTGTTAAGCAATTGTTTGGAATCAGTTTCTTCCTTTTCTGGTCATTCCATTTTGCATCAAATCATAATGATTCTGTATTGGGGGATTAAAGTTCAATTTTAGTAAGGTCAAACTCAAATCCAAAAGTTAGCTAACAGTGCAGATTTGGAAGAAGAGTAATGCGGGCTGTTGGTTTTCATTCCATTCTTTTAGCTTTGCACCAGTGTCATTAGCTCAATTCTGTTACTATTGGTTTCCTTTTTTTGGGTATGCAGTAATGAGGCCCAAGCGTCTGCGCGAGGAACCTTATTTTGCCTCAAATCACCTCCAATGAAGTCTATTTGTGGTCCTATTCGATGTAATATAGTCCTTCCCCATTTAGTTGATTTTTTGGATTCAAAGTCATGTAGATTCTGCAGTGAAGTGTAATTTCAAGCATGTATTTCATTGTGTGTTTGTTAGGGAAAGGAAGAGCTATTTGTATCTCTCCTGAAAGTCCGACACTTGCTGAAAATTGAGGGTGGTAAGTGAAGTTGATCTCAAAGTCTTTGGACTGGCATCATATTCATTTACTTCGTCATGCCTATTATATACTGTCGATCTGATTGAACATAAAAGGAAATTATGTCTCGGTATACTGTGACTTGATTTGTATATGTTCTTC